CAAGTAAATAATTAATCTCATAAAAGGCAATATCGGCAAAGAAAAAGTTTGCATCTTCCTCCTTTCTCCAAAATTCTATGGATTTATTGTAAAGAATAGAAAAATATTTTAATACATGAACAACTACGTAAATAACTGCATTTGGTTCATATGAAACTTTACTTGGTATTTAACAAAATCTAAATGCATGCGTTCTTATCTTGGACACACTGTATAAAAATGGAATTTACCACGTCAGTTTCGTTTCCTACGGACCCGAGCCACTTCGGACATTTCCGAAATATTACAGGACGTGTTTGGAAGTAATCGAATGTTTTCGGAGATATTGCCGTATGGCTTGCAGGTCGTGTCGTGTTGTTTTGCAAAAACGTACTCAATAACTAACAGTCGTAGAAAAAGTATAGCATGCAACCTTTGGTAAACTTTTGGTAAACTTTTTAAGTCGCTAGTTTATTATTTACTCGCTCTGCTAGTGCCAAATCCCGTTTGTCACACTTGTTGCATAATATACTATTATAATATTGAAATTTTGGTTGAACATTTCAACAATTCGTGAGTTTATATTTAAGGGAAAAAGATTACACATCAAATTTCTGAGTTAATAGACGGTTTTGAAAATAATCTGAATACCCTTTTTAATCATAACTACACTCGACGAATCAAAATTTGATGTGTATGTAGGCGATTTTCGAAAAAGGGTGATTCGTACAAAATCAGAAGCCTTTCACAAAGATTGTCTAAAGCGCACGGTAAAATTTCCCCATGGTGTTATGATATGGGGGTATATGAGTGGTAAATGGGTAATGCAGAAAAATACCATCAGATTTTATCAAGAAGTTTGATTCCATCAATAGAACGAACTTTTGGAAATGAAGATTTTATATTTCAACAAGCCATAATATGATTATTGTGGCCATCAAGTAGCCCCGACTTGAATATTATTGAAACTTTGTGGCATGGGATGAAAAAGACTTTGCGTAACAATTCTCAGCGTACAGTTCCAGCTTTAAAGGCCAAAATCACCGAAATTTGGAACACTTTCACCCCCGAATATTGCAAGACATTGGTAGATTCCATGCCAAAACGCATAAAAGCTGTTATTGCTGCGAAAGGTGATGTTACTTCTCATTAATGTTCGATTTAAAGTAAAAGACTTAAATGCGTCCGAATATTTATTTGTAATGTAATATGTAATTTATGTAAAATAAAAAAATAATTCATTACGATAGCACTTTTTGGTATAAAAATAAGTACGTGATTTTATTTTTCAATCGAAAAGGCAAAAAAATCAGTTTAAAATAAGTATAAATATGCTTTCTTTTTATTTCGTACATCGTCCGAACAATTAGTTGTTAGGGCTCGTAATAGGTTTGTTTGTCATTTGAAAAGTATAAGTGATAAGTATGAGTGATGTGTATTTGCAGTATTTTAGACTAACCACATATAACCGCCATTGGTTAATAAATTTTCACGAAAGGTACTGCCTATTTAGATACTGAAGAAGATACGAGCAGTCCGTCAACCACAAAGGTTATCAAGATAACAGAAAATAAAATGTAATGATGTTTTAGGTAGTCAACATAAAAATCCAATGTCGTTCGTAAGGAAAGAGCGCTCCATTGACGTTTTCATTCCCGCGACAGAAGAGGGAAGTTGAATTGCTAACCGAGCGAATAAAAACCCTTTTCAAGAGATTTCTTGTCTCATTGAGAGTCAACAGAATCATTAATGAGAGTTTCCCAACGCGCATTTAGAATAGATCTCTGTTTCATTTTTAAAAACAGCATACTTCTACAAGCATATACGCAGTTTTAAAGTCGCAAGATGAATAATAAATAACTTCAATTTTATTTACACTTCGGAAAATGTCTAAACTTCAAGTTTCTCGTAAGTATCTAAATTCTAGAATGATCCCTCTAAACTGCATTGTAGACAGACTGTGACGACCGCGAAAGTTCTTAACCCGGTAGACTACCGCATTCCTTTTTTGTTTTTATAGGTTGTTTTATGCTCAAACTTTATGCCCAAAACTAAAAACGAGATAAATGAGAACATTTAACGTTTAAAGCGCTGCATAAAATACAGTAGATATTATATTAATATTATTAAATTCATTTCATTGAACGCAATTACACATACGTACCACATTATTACAAAAGAGGCAATAAATCGACAAGCACTTTATATTTCCATATTTGTGAAGGAAACTCTCATTATGATGTCATTAGCCTAAACCCGAAAGTTAAATTACCACTAACGAGTTGCTATACGCTACAAATTATTATTAGCTTCTAATAGATAAAGAGCATCCTGTTTCACAATTTCAATTTCAATAGTCTCAATCCAAGCTGGGTTATTGATTTTAACCATTAGATCTAAACCAGAATCTGAATCGCGCAGCAACTGTAGACAGATTGTACCGGCAATCGGTCAAAATCGACAAAATTTAAATTTGTAGAAATTTTGTGTCCATAGCAAATTATGGTTGCACTAGTGATCCCTTTATTATGCGATAATAGATCTTCCATTATGGAATCGTTTTGACGTCCAATCATTAAGTCGCAATTGTCGTAAATCAAACGCGAATATACAAAAACTTTTTGGTAGGTCAAACTTCCAAATGTACGCCTTGTTGTACAACACAGGCAACAGTTATAGTTCCAACTTGTACAAATAATTGCATAGTATATACAACGGCCGTTTATATTCCTAGACGAATGACTACATGCCTAGACCCCTGGATTCATAAGCATTAGAACACAATACAGCAAATGTGCTATATCAGTATCACCTTAGCTCCATTGTAATAATCCGATTAATTCCTTTGTTCTAGAGTTGTCACTACTGAAAATATGATTAAAAGGCATCGTTTTTTTGCTCTGAATTTTATGTAATTTATCAACAAAGTTGCGAATATCCCGTGCGTCTAGTGTTTCATAAGCGACATAAATAAAATATGTTGGGAACATGCACAAAAAATAATGTAAAAAATTATATGCACTACCGTTCCTATTTTTGAGTGTTTTTTTACGTTCCCACTATGCCACTGCCTTTCAAGTTAGGTGCGCAAAATTAAAAAAATTGTTTAGTAATTTTAGTTTGCATATGGTTGCAGAACCTTCATAAATAGTATTCATGGTTTTACCATTATTTCAATGTGACTCCAATTTACGTAAAAAGAGATTTCAATAACCCATTTCCAAAACGTTGTTGGTATTTTTTATGAACGTGTACGTGCGGTTTTAGGTTTGATATTAAGGTATAATTTATCAGCTGTCCCACTTGAGATCGACACAGTAAACTGCATTCGTGGTAGTATTTACTTCTGGTGAATTATAAATAGCATTTCATAATATTGAACGAGCGATGCCTTAAATTAAAATATTTTCAATTTCACAGGTTTCCCATAGAAATTTTTGATATTGACAAAATCGCCAATCAATGCAATGCAACCCATAATTTCACAATACAATTTCACAAGTGCATTAAGCAAGTTAAAGTCAAAAAAGAACATAGATAGGAAAAGAAATATCAAATAAAAAATACAAAACAAAGAAACAAAAACCAGCACAATAAAAAAAATACAATTTACAATTACAGTGGGATACACAAGTAAATAATTTAACAAACAAACTAAGGGAGCTCCGCTCCAAATTTATTTATCTAAAAGATTTGTTAGAGAAAAAAATACTTAAATTTTTTTTGTTTGTCTCTAGTATATACGGAATTTTAGAGTGAGGAGCAATTATTGATAATCATTTAAAATTTCTAAAAACTCTCCCAGAAAGGTTCGTTAAAATTATTATAATAGGAACAAAACTTAATGAATTAAAGTATCTAATATTTAAAAAAAAGTAGTCCCTTTAATAATATAAGTTGGATAGGTATATATTTCTTTATAATTAATATCACGATACTTGTCTTTCCGTCTTCCTCGTAAACCATTAGAATAAAATGTTGCAGTATGGAAAATAATCTTTTTCAAAAGTTAATATATTTCAAAATTTTGAAAATAATCACTATATATGTTAGTGTATTCGATATTGTATTAGTAATTATACATATATAGCTTCCTGTTATTTGTTATTGTTATTAATACTGATTGAACATTAAAAACGAGGACATCCATTTGCAGTTAAAAAAGATCAAATAAAACAAAATTCCTTTTATGGCGGCGGGACATTAGCCGCCGACTAAGAACTAAAGTTATGTCGCAATAGCCATTTTTCAACTTTTTAACTCCACAAATTATCAATAACATCGACTAGGTCTTCCCGTTCCCCGCAATCGCGCTAATGTGCACCAGGCGGGTACCCATTTCACTCTACCAAAAGGAGGAAATTGCCGGAATAAATTAAAACCGCTCCACAAGAACAGAGGCGTAACTGACGGAAATAAAAAAAATATATATTACAGAGAGTTTGTATTCATAATGTTAAAAATTCCCATAAAACAGTGTAATATTTGAGTACGTAAGGGTAGCAAATAAATGTTTAAGTTATTAAAACATGTGACTACTCCAAGTTCTATATATATAAATAAATCTTATAGGGTCAAATGAGAAATTAAAAACAATATCTGGTACAATCTACAAAATCAATTGATTACAATAAGCAAATGTGGCAAGTAACATCTTTACCAGACATATTGACAATATTTATTTAAAAATTGTAAATTTGATAAAAATGAATTTTACACCAAAATGTGCAAGGCGTAAGTACATTAAACTTTGCCGGCTTATCGAACATTGGACTTTGTATTTGATATAGTTACCTGTGTGGATCGGACTTTGGACTATGAAAACGTGCAAGGTAAGATATGCACGCTATCGGCGAAGTACATTAAAATATTTAAAATTTGCTTAAAAATCTAAGTATATGCAGAAAAATAAGTTAAAAGATCCAAATGTAGGTGCGGAAATTAAAAATAACTGTGGCAAAAAAAAATAATTTTTCCACATTATGCCCTAATACTTAATGCCATGAGTACAAAATTCTCACCTTCTCAAGGCAATCTTGGCCGATGGATTTTGGGTCAACTCGAACTTCAAACACCACTGAATTTGGTTGACTGATCAAGCACCACATTTTGGACAGTTTTTAATTAGATATTTCGTTAAACACTCAGTAAATACCTCGTTTGTGGGATGGACTTTCCATTTAAAACAGAATTAAATTAGACTAAAAATCGCGTAATGAATATAACACCAAATTATGTGCACTTCACGCCACACAAACTACACGAATCAACAGATCACAAAGAATGAAGTGTATAAAGTAAAGCATTTTTGATCGAAGCAACCGCAGCTGGAAACCTCATTGTTTTGCTTCTCCGCGCAGGTTCTATCAACGACGAACGCATACCACATATCAATTGGATACATAAGGATTTAAGAGAGAGAAGTGGTGCACCTGAATGTTTAATCCCTTTCTGCTTTTGTTTACTGGGGGGGTGGGGGCATCAGCTGGTTGAAGCAGTCCTTCCGATTTTTAAATAAACAAAAGCGCAAATAGGGTGTATTATAGGAGCATACTGTTTAAAATGTCGACTCAATATTTATAAAAGAAACGGGTTGGCTCATCATTTTAGAGAAAATTAATCTTAAAGTGGCAAAAAAAAAATTCAGTAATAAAATGATAAAAAAATGCAATTTACTAGAGACAATTAATACTCTTAAAAATTAAACAATGAATAAAATAAGTTCAAATTTTAAACAATTTTTACATATTTTACAACAATTTTATGTAGACCTTTTTATGACTGAAGGTATAATTGATTTATACCTACCTAGACGCAACATCAGCACCGCACACTTTACTTACAGTCAAATTAAATTTAGCATAAGAATGCAAATAAATAAAAAAAAAAAGAATTAAATTAATGAATTATTTATTGGCAGTTTACTCTCATTCATTATGAAATTTCAGTTTGGTTAGTTAGTTGATTTTTTTATCTCACCACGTGTGGGTATCGAATGAAGGGTTATTCACGCAGGGAATGTTTGTGACCCAAATAAATAAAAAAAGTTTTACTTTTGGATTAAATAGGATCATTATAAAATGACCGTCAAATTATGCAGGTTATCTTAAAAGTGCTAATATATCACGGTTGTTTATATTTTTTAATGGAACCCTCTCTATATTATAGCAGGTTTTAATCCTGTGTGATACAATGCCTAAACCTTAATTTTAGCGTTTAATAGTATATTAGGCAAGAAGTGCGGTAAACGGCATTTGACTGCCGAGTTTATTTGACACGAGCGGAGCGAGTGTTTAATAAACGAGTGACTTAAAAATTTTACCGAACGTGTTGCATACTATACTTTTTCTACGACCGTTAATTTTTGGGTACATTTTCGCAAAACAACACGAATACATTCACTGACATGACCATAAACTTCAAAATTCAAGGCGTGGGAAATATCTCCGAAAACATCCGATTGCTCCCAAACCCGTGCGGTAAAATCCCGGAAAGGTCCGAAGTGGCTCGGCTCCGTGGGAAACGAAAGTGACGCTTCCCGCACGCTAGATCGTTGTGTACAGACGGAAGTAGAAAAACGAAATTTACAGCGACATGTAGTATAGCTTGTTATCTTCTTTGCTACTTTCGAACTACTACGAAACTATTCATAAATTGGTTGTAAAAATCACCTAAAATCTCAAAACGAATCCTTAAACTAAAATCGATCATCGCGCAAAAAAGAAGGTATGGGCATAATACTTCCACAGGCTCCTGCAATACTATTTACAAATCTACTGATTCCTCCTGGGTCGGCTGTGTATAAATTTGACTAGCTGACGTTCACCAATCATCAGGTGGGCTTCTTCAGAACTGAAGAAGACAACAAGATTATTGGCGAAACGTCAGCAAGTTTGATTTATAAACAACCGACACATGAAGAATCCAGAAGATTTGTAAATAGCAATAGGGACCTGCTTTGTCGTTTGTTGAAAGAAACGCAACACCTACAAGAGAAGTGTGGAAAGGTTAAACGAAAAGGCACATATAATTTCGTCCTCACATACACGCACGAAGAAATAATTCTAGTAACTTTTGCAAAATTTAAGACAATAAATGTTAATGTATTAAAAGTGTAGGCGTTGAAGAAGATAGTCTGCAAAGGCATTGAATTACAAGAAGTAGGACTGTATATTTTTGAGTATTTATGATTTACAATATTCTATTTCCCTGTACATTATTTTTGTTATTAATATGAATTTTTGCTTGTTTAATTGATTCTTCTTTAAATGCTTCACTGTTTATTTTCTTCTCGATTCGTCGCTCCTTTCTGTACACTTTTAGAGCTTTCTTTCTATTTCTTCTTTCTTCTGGAGACTCATCCTTAGCCCGAATTGATAATGCCGATAATTGGGAAACAACTGAACCAGCTCCAATAGCTTTTTCGGTCTTGTTTTCAACTGAGCCATTTTCATTGTTCAACCGATTTAAAGCGGCCATGGTTATTTTTTTTTGGCCAAGAACATGGTTGGGTATGCCAGAAAGCTTGTCAATTGTAATTTTCTCATTCTAAAATTGAAATCTGATGAAATATGTGGAAAATAAATAAAATATAAGCCAAAAATGTCACAAATTTTGTATATAATTTACATTTAAGTTTAAGTATTTATTGTTGGCTCCATAGTTACTTGCTTTTTATATTATTCTGTACAATATTTTATGGAAACTAAACAATTTGTCATTTTTGGTCAATACAGTTCCATCTTACTTACCAAAGGTTCTTTTATGACTTTTGGATGGTTGTAAAGATTTGAATAGGTACTTAAAATTGATTCACAGTCCCATTTCTCTTTCTCTTTGACTTCTATATATTGCAGTCCCTAAAAATGATACATAGGAGTACCACAAATATTAATATTATAACAACCAAAAATACTTCTTTTTCTTCATCTGATTCTTTTGCCAGTTGTTCTTTAATCTTGTAAGTGATCTTCTTGCTGTCTAATAATTCTTTATTCTGCTGTTTTGCAAAGTCCTCTGCATATTGCAATACAATTTGTGATGTTTCTGATACGTGACCCTCAATTTCTTCCAAATCAAGAGGTCCAATTTCATTATCTTCATATTCTGCATATATCTAAAACACATCATGCATTGCCAACAATATACAAAAGATTGATAAGCAACCATTAGTAATGAATCAGGCATTGAGTTAAAATTTCTAGCTGGCTTACTAATATAAACTTTTAACATAGTTTAAAAATTGATTTACTATTAGGTTCGAAATCTTATTGAAAAATTGTTTTCTGCAAAAATTTGGTTTAAAGAAAGAATTACCAGAAATCTTGACTCAAACACCTAAGCCAAAGTAAAAAAAAAATAGTAATCAAAGAAATATATTTAAATCACAGAAAACCCAACCTTTTCAAATCTATCATCCAGCCGTGTTAACTGATCATTTCTTCTTATAACAGAACTAGTCATTGAATAATTAGTAAAATGTGACTTAGAGTCATCAAATTCAAATGACTTTTTAGAGCCTTTTAATGAACTAATTTCATCCAAATATATATTAGAGTCAAGAAAATTGTCATAATTATTTTCTTCAAGTTCCTGATCAGAGGCGAGGTCATTTGCTAATTCAACAAAATCATCTTCCAATTCATTATACGGATCTTCATAGTCAAAATCATCATCCATTGCTGCAACTATATCTGGATCCAAATCAAGTTGCAGTCCTAGAATTAACATTTAGGCTTTTATACTTATTTTCAGCACCAGAGCATAATATGAGAATCTAACCAGACATGGGAGCAGCTTTATTTAACATCCCTATTTCCTCTTCAATGTCAGAAGCAAAAACGGATGATGGTAAGCTAAGTCTAACTTTTTCTTTTTTTTGCTGTTTTAATTCTTCCCCTATATGTGATGGCCATTCCATTCTATTATCTTTAGAATCTTTAAGGTGTTGCAAATAATTATAATCATCATCAAAATAAATTCCATATTTAGCCTGCTCTTCTAATCGCTTTTCTTTATCCTTTTTAGACTCGTTTCCTATGAGCGGTAACAAAACACGCTGAGGCGCCGTTTCATCGCTAACCAGAGGATCTTGCTGGCTCCTGTGAACTAGTTGAAAGGTCACCCCCTTGGTTTTTTGTTTTGGCTGTGCAAGACAAAAGATCATACATAAAGAATTTACCTATTATACTTATATTCAGACTAAATAACCTTACCATAGTGGACAATACAATCATACAATAAAATATGACATCAAATAGGTGTTAGATCATTAAATAACCATCACCTCAATTCAACATTCAATAACGTGTAAACCCCTTTTAAACTCTCTTTCTTTATCAATGATTTCTGGAGATCAATTTCACTACGGTCATCCGGCCATATACATCTCCTCTTCCAGTTTTACACCACGTAGTGGTACAAAATAGTTGGCAAGTCAAAAAAAATCAAACAAATCCTAAACAGAAAAAATAAAATAAATATCTTAAGAGAGCATAAAAAGAATTTTCACTTGGACACTGAAAATATGCAATATAAGATTGCCACTTTGATGAAAAATGTTAAGTCTTAGTCAATGGTTTATATAAGACAATAAAAAAGCGCGCTTTCTTTAAATGGAACCATAGATCCAATAAACATAAAATTCATTATTTTTTCATTCTAACCCTAATTGCATTTGACAGAATTGTGCTCACAGTATACTAACTAAATATTGAATGTGCCGTTTTTATTTCTAGGGAAACTATTAGCAAACTAGGATATCAAATTTATAATTAATTACAATATTACAATGGGAGATATTACTGAAGAAAGAACACAAGAGCGTGTGTATGGAGGCTGTGAAGGTCCTGAGGCAATGTATGTGAAGCTTATTTCTTCAGATGGTCATGAATTTATAGTGAAAAGAGAACATGCTTTAACATCCGGCACCATTAAAGCTATGTTAAGCGGTCCCGGTCAGTTTGCAGAAAATGACGCCAATGAAGTAAATTTTAGAGAAATTCCGTAAGTTGTTGACTTTAGAAAATGGTTGATTATTCTCTTGTGCCAAAATCTTCAATTTTTTAGTTAATTGTTCCTCTTATTTATTTCGTGCAAATTTATTGCTTAGTCAAACAAGTAGTTATAATTATATAGTCATTGAAAGTTTGATTTTTGTTTAGGTCTCATGTACTGCAGAAGGTTTGCATGTATTTTACTTACAAGGTACGTTATACAAACAGTTCTACAGAAATACCAGAGTTTCCAATTGCACCAGAAATTGCATTAGAGTTGTTAATGGCAGCAAACTTTTTGGATTGTTAAATTTATACTTATTTTTCAAATGTGATTAAATAAAACATATTAAAATATCTGAGCAAATTTTTGGAATACTTCTTAATTATGGAGAACAAAAGAATATGTTTTTCAATTTTTTTAACTTTAGTCCTATAAGCAAGAGATGTGTAGTAATCTTAGTAATAGTAATAAATATGTGTTCACAAAAAAGTGTTTAAATTAAACTATATTTAACCCTTTATAAGATAATTAATTATAAGAAAATCATTACTGCATGAAGATGATATAAAAGTAGAAAAAAAAATGATAGTCTAAGATTACATTCACTGCAATTTATTTTATAATAAAAATAGAATACCTACAAAGAACTCCTAGCTATTCTGGACAATCTAAGGGGCAGTTTGTCACACAATATATAAACATGTAGGTACAACACATCAGCAAAGTGTATGCCTACTGTATGTGCATATTAGTAGCTACCCAATTCAACATCTATTTCAACTTTTTAACATAATAAATTCTTTTTTTAAGTCTTTTTAAGACATTTTGTATCCTTTGCCCTGTGCCCTTTTCCTCTCTGACAAACAAAATTAAATTATATCCATTCTGTATTTATTTATTTTTCTAGATTTCTCAAGCAATTTTGTTTTTTTCTTTTGTGATTTATTTTAATTAGATTTGGACATCACAAGGGCATGAACTTGCAAAATATTTTCATGAAAAAGCAAAGAACTCTGTATATACCTAAATGAAGAAAACTAAAAAAAAGTTTATGGTTTTTTACGTGCGCTTGACTTAAATCTTAGTGATGAATAATACGGTTAGAGCAGATCATAACATAGGTATGCACTGGCAACGTGCAACGTGTACGTATGTAGAGGTTATGGTGTGTTATCTTGATTTTGAGATTTAGTTTTTTTCGAAGGAATATCTTATTGAGTGTTTGTGTGTAGTGCTGCTGTGTTAATAAAGCGAAAACGTCATTTTACTCTAGTACCTACTACATCAGAAATTAGTAGAAACGGAAGTTATGGACATTTTAATTCAAAACGAAATGACCGAGGATAATTTAGTCAAATGGCTTTGGAATTAGCAGAACCAATTCAAATATTTGAGGATAATGAAGGTGTCCAATACCAAAGTATTGGAAGACTAAGGAATTATGAAGGGAACTTATTCTTAAAATATTTTCGAGGCCTACATTTGTAACTTATTACTTATTATTCTATTTTAGAATTTATCATATCTCGCACGTTTCGGAGCAGAGAGACATTTGATATGTTTAGAAAATGTGCTAGAAGAGAAGCTGCCACACCTGGAAGTAGATATTGCAGATGACGGTGGAAATGAGGAGGAACCAAATAGCAAATATGCTTTTATAACAAATAAAAATGTTTTCGAATTATTGCTACTTTTTTTTTGTAATTCACATAATAAGTCCAAAATTTTATTTCTTTACTCCTGGATTTTCTTGCTTCTTTCAATGGCGTTTCGTAAGAGGTTAATTTCTTGTATTCGAGCCTCCTCAATATTTGTCAGCCTTCTCCTTAGATAAAACATTCCACTGTTTGACTCCCTAGTCTTGGTACTTCTAAAATGAAAACATGTTATAAGCCTTTAATTTTTTTAATTATACCAATAAAAAAAATTGTTGAACCAACCTATAGAACCTGATTGGAGTGGTTTCCATCTGTGAAGTCACTGGGATAGCAGGTGGGTCCTTTTTATTTTCGACAAGGGGCTTTTTTCCTTATAACAAGCACTACTGTCAAGGTTATTAGGTTACGGAGGTTAACTGTTTTGTCCTCTCTATGTATTTCATTAACCTATATTGTCTTTAGTGCTTGGGTAGATTTTTTTCAGGTTTCTCCATTTCCTATTCAATATTTCTCCAGTTTAGTGAAAATATGCTCTGCAAATAACTTAAAATTGGATCTCTATTTCATGTGAGTGTAATTTTCGTTTAAAAAAAAACGTTTGTTTGAAAAAAGACACACCTTGATACGATCTTCCAAAACTCCAGGGGTTTTCGACAAAACTTTCCCGTTGGGACCCTGAAAAAATTTTTTTTGTAAATACTAATAATATAAATAATAAATAAAATATATTTATTACGTTGGAATTTCGTACTCACATCACCTGTCCAATACACCCTAACCAAATTCCTCTTTCAAGACCAAATTTTGCCAATACTGATCACTTCGCTACCTCTACCTAGCACAAAATAAACTCTCTACAAAAAACCCCCCAACATGTTGGAATTGTAGCGCATGTGCCCCCTGATGTTTCTGCTACGGCTTTTGTAAAATCAAATTTCCAACACGCTATCTAGGTCATAGAATATTATAGATGATAGAATAACCTAATATAAGTTATTTATGGATAGAAATAATAATAAAACAATTTACAATATCATTTTTATGACTATTTGGATTTACAATTTTTTTTACGAAGATCGACATCCGGCTCCTAATTTCAGATTATTATTTTTAACTCGCTTGATAAATCTTAGAGCTGCTGGTTGATCCTCTTGGTCCTATTTTTATAGTTGTGTTTAATTAATGATACGCAAAGTTATCGACCCCCGGAAAAGTATCCTTAATTTCCAATTAAGTTTAGATTCGACGCCTACAACTTTTGTTACAAACTACAGGGATTTGTAATTAACTGAACTGAAAATAGTTATAACCGCACTTTAACCTTTAACGTGACAAAGTCTAAAGTTACCTAACAATTTGTGATTTTGGTTAGAGCTACTATCTGAACATTTGATAAAAGAGTCAATTGTTTGGTAATAAGAAATGGATGAAATAATATTTCGAAGTTCTCAAAGGCTTGAAAACGTTGAGGTGTGTACTTTATGTATTCTTCAGATATTTGTATTATCACAATACAGTAAAAAACTATTAATAGAGTTCAACCTCGGATTCTTTTAGTTGTTAATTATTAGATATTCATTCGTTTCTTAATAACATATTTTAATAAGTAATAATACTATTTTAATTACTTAAAATTGCAGATGCAAGTCCAACTAGTGAGTTCGAAAATGAAAGATCTGATAAATGCATATTTACAACAAAGTAGGGCACTAATATACCAAGTCTGGAATAGCACAAAAATTGAGCACATGAGACTCAACATGAGAGAACTATTAAATTATTTGTTAGCAGCTGCTCATGATTTCAAGGAAAAAGCAGTTGATGTAGCAGATCCCAAGAGGCTTTATATGTTCTTGAAAGCTTTTGTTGGAGGAAGATGTAGGTAACATTTTATCACTACAGTTTTTTGGGATAGAGAAATTTTTCTATATGATGTGAAATTAAAACTGCCACGAAAACATGTTAGGCATGCCAAATTGCTTTGGCTCGTATTGTTATTCAACCCAAATGAACATCATAATCATGTTATGATATTGTGGATCTATTATTTTATGCTATATTTAGCTGCTTTACTTTGAGAACCTACTTGATGACATTTCATTGCAAAAACAGAATGTTAGTGCTTGCACATTTGATTTGTAGGGTCAAAACGTGAAATCAGTTTAGTTTGTATTGGCTTTCTCTTTGGGGGACTAGTTGGTCTAACAATAGGATTATCAGTTAGAAGAAAAGAATCAACCATCAGATATATGGAAGCCGTTCAGCTCAATCAGTATCTGGGAATTGAGGTAATGTGACAACATAAAATTTTTATATATATATATATATATATATATATATATATATATATATATATATATATATATATATATATATATATATATATATATATATATATATATATATATATATATATATATATATATATATTTGAGGCAGTTGAGGTGTCACTGTCGGTATCACTGCTTGAGTGTCTGATGAAGCATGTGTCGAATCGCAAATTACTCAAATAAAATTTAAAAATAACCATGACGAATACGTTTGAAAACCCTTGTTATGCTGGTTAATGATAAATTTTTTATTTGAGCCAATGTGTTATTGGTAAACACATCTGAGTGAAGCATCTTTAGTTTCTCACACACTCTTCTTTTGAATGGTTTTGTTGTTGCCTAAGGATGTCTGAAAAATATCTCAGCAAACCTTTTTTGGTCACTTTTTCATGCATTTCATAGACAAATATAAAAATCCATTGCGGTTAGTAACAAGATTTGCATCAATTTAAAATAAAATCCTGTTTAAAGTGTTTAGGAATATTTAATGTTACCAAGTTGTTTTGTTTAGATTACACATAAGTGATTATGAAATCATTGGTGAAGAATTTTTTGCAGTATTGCGAAAAGAAAATTAAAAGTAAGTAAATTAACTTAACTGTTAATTTTTACACCATTGTAGAAACATGTTTTTTTTTCATTCCCCTTTAAGTTAGTGGGGGTGTTGTAAAATAATATAAAATTAAAAAAAAACACGAGTTATCTCATCAGCGAAGATTCCGGTAAGCTAACCCATGGGGAGTCCTATTCTTCTTTAGGTGCCTTCTTCATTACTGAAGGTTGGCGACAATGGCTGCAAATTCTTTTCTATTGTCCACTCTTTTATGTTATTAAGCCATTTTCGTCTTCCGGGAGCCTTCGGGCGCTCTATCTTTCCTTCCATGATCGGTCTCAAAAGTTGATATTTTTCTCCTTTGTATAAATGTCCTAAATAGCTGATTTTGCGCCGTTTCACATCCTGCAGGAGTTCTTTGTCTGTTCGCATCTTATAATATTTTCATTTGTCATTTGTGTTATCCATCGAATCTTCAAAAGTCTGCTTCCAGTCATTGCATCATTGCATCATTGCTCTTTCCCATTGTTCAAGATTTCGTGCCATATATGAGAATAGAATAAATGTAACGTGGATGTTGTGTTTTCAATTCGTGCTCGAATTTGGGTCTCCGAATCAAGGGTTTCGGTAATCCAGCACCCGAGATATTTAAACTTTCTCACCTCTTCTTTTGGAGTACCGTATATTGGCTCGTAAGTTTTGATTTCTGCTGATGACCATCACCTTTGTTTTTAAAAATATTTATTGTCAGACCATGTTGATCGCGGGATTCTACAATGTTGTCTATAAATTCTTGTAAGCCTTCTGAAGTGTCTGCAAAGATGACTGTGTCGTCTGCATAGCGTATATTGATAAATTGGTTAAGGCTTTCGCGGCCCGTTGATAAGCTATTATCTTGATTCGGGTTTAAAGGCCGTCGTCGATTGGAATTACTTCCTAACGTTTCGCTAGCACGAGTGGCGAGCTTCTTCAGAGGTCCTTCCATCTCCGATGTTGGACGTCCAACATCGGAGATGGAAGGACCTCTGAAGAAGCTCGCCACTCGTGCTAGCGAAACGTTAGGAAGTAATTCCAATCGACGACGGCCTTTAAACCCGAATCAAGATAATAGCATAGCGTATATTGTTAAATAATTTATCGTTCACCATCATGGCAATTTCACTGTTCTCTAATGCTTGTTGAAATATTTAATATAATATTTTGTTTTTAAAAAAACGTATTTACTTATCTGTTTTTTTTTCCTATGAGCTTATTTTTTAACGGATTTTTAAAATTTTGTGTCAAAAAAAGTACCGGTTTTAAAAAGTTTTTGTTTCCAGTAGGGAGTTATTTGAAGAAACTAGTTTATCCTAAAAAATTAATAGTTCATTACATTATCATCTACCATAACATCTATCTAATGAATTTGCCAATTAGTAAACTAAAAGGAAATGCAAAAGTCGTGATTAACCTTCAAACATCCAGTATATGCCATGATTTCAAAAATATTTTGCATAGAAATTTTGCAGATGAAAGAGACAAATCATGTCTTGATGCAGATTTGGTAATGCTGCGCTAAGAAACATATGAGAAACCCACATTCTGCATTTCATGTGTTCGTTTATTGATACATATGAAACGACTAATGATGGTCAAAACTATATTAAACTTCCAAATATCTTGAAAAATAGGGTTGAAAATAAAATATCAGATATTCTGCCTCATCCAAAAAGATCGAAGAGAACGTTGATAAATGTAAATGCATCTCTTTTTAATGCTATTACAGGAAACCTTGATGCATCTGATGACGATTACTATGAGCATCTTATTAAAGAGTTGCAGCACAACCAAAAAGAGTTAGCTGAAAGTATTTTAAAACAAAATCTAAGATTAATCAAATAGATCAATTTGTTGAAAAATCACCTTATATTTAATCCTTATTGAAGATGTATTGATACAGGTCATTAACACTCATGAAGTTATTGTGACAATTTTCCAAGATTTAGAAAGTTCGATAATTTTGTCAACAAAAAATTATTCACCTAAGTATAATTACAATTAAAGACTTTTTTAACGTACTTTTTATTTTGCAAACTAAAGTATTAAAAGAACAAAGGATTCTACCTGTAACTTCAGAAAACACTTTTGTTTTTGAAAAATTAATTTTGAATAGTAAAGTTAATTTTTGATTATTTTCATCCCCATTCATTCATTAAATAACAGTTGGTTTATGGTTGTTTTGCCTGGTGCAAAGTATTTGATAAAAACCGAATCGCAATATGCATACCAGAATGAGCTATGTTAAGAAGCTACTAAAAGCCTATTCGCCTGTACCCATGAAGATCTTAAGAAAAATGATAATAACAGTACTTGCGAATCGGCCTTGTTAAACGCAAATCCACAAAAAACAAACTGCCGTAATATGCAACTTAAAATCACCCAGCCAATTGTCAATCAATTGGAAAATTCTAATTAGTGGATTATAGAAGTTCCCAAGGAACAAACCGTTAAATTTCAAAATCTCTATAGAGCATACCAAGTTAAACTTCCAAATGGATGAAATTTAATCATTATGATTAATGATCCTAGAACAATCAACTCCAGTATCCAGCCAATACTTTTTTCTGACCTGTCCAATATGCGAATACAGCAAAGTTAGAAAAAAGAAAGAAAGAATTTTTTTTAAAAAACAAGGGTAGTTAATTGATGTTTCTATGATCATGCAAACAGTTACTGCTTTTGCACATTCCACTGTGCCAAAAGTTTAACTTAACTTACTTTGTGCACTAATGCTCTATTAATTAATCCAAATATAACAACTTAGAGGAACTATTTAATACATTAATTTGTCCAAGAAACTTCCACAGGCTACTTTAATACTATTACAAAACTTCTGGAATCCTCCTGCGTCGGTTGTTGTTGAATGGAATTTATTGACGTTTCGCCAATCATCCTGTTGGCTCTTCACAGAGTTTAGCCGGAGCTGGCTCGTATTCTACTCTGTACCTCATATATTGTTTGAGGTGTTGACTGACTCCCATATGGGTGACAGGGAAAGACCTGAGTGTGGTTGTTTGGTCTTTCATGTATGTATTCTTTGCCGTATATGCATGGAATGCTGTAAACTCCTAATAATGGAATTTTGTTTTTGACCTAGAGAGATTATTGGACAAGTGGTAAATCTGATTTTGGGGTTATATTTCTTACGAACTTTTGAAATGTGATCAGTGATATTTTGAATGTAAGGAAAGACAACAGTAACACAAGTGTTAGTATTAAAGTAAAAGAAATTCTCATTATTTATATTTAAAATACAACTGTCATCCTACGTGCAGGATTGTACTGCGATTGCGCGAAAATTTTGAGTACGACCTACTATCGGCGAAATTTTCGGACCCTCTCTTGCCTTTTCAACACCTTGCGAAGAACATTAAATCTTTTACAGTTCTAGAAGTGAAGTTAGTTGTTAAAGTCTGTTCTTAAATATAAGAAAGTGACTAACTGATACGAATTAAGGAAAGACCCAGGCAAGCTAGTAGATATATAGCACCGTTTAAGCAAGCAAAAACCGCACATAACCACAATCTCCTAACCCCTTCGCAGCGGGGGCCCGTCCTAGTGTCCCCCCTAGTTACCAGAGTGTGCTCCGCCCCCCACCGTCCTATTTGCCCCAGTCGCTGCTAGATGTCGCGCGCTCCGACTGTCGACCCGATCCCCCGCGACCCCGCGCCGCACCGTCACCGCCCTCTGCCGGGGGGGGCCGTGCTGTTATGCTCCGATCGGGTCGACGGTCGGAGCGCGCGACCGGGGCAAACAGGACGGTGGGGGGGCGGAGCACACGCTGGTAGCCAGGGAGGACACTAGGACGGGCCGGACTGCCACGCGCGGGGGGCCTCCGCTGCGAGGGGGTTAGGAGATTGTCGATATGTGCGGTTTTTGGTTGCTTAAACGGTGCTATATATTTACTCAAGCTGTAAGAATGAAATATGGCCGAACAGGTCCGTACTTTGCTTAGAATTTAATTATTTGGGGTTTTGTTAGGAAAGATACTAAACAATATTTATTTATTTATGTATGTATTTATGTTCTAATTATTATTTGTTCTATATTATTTGTAATATGGATATACGATTGTTCTGCTTTTTCTATATGTTTAACAGAATTTGCCCAACTTTGTGGAGGAATGTTAAAAACTTCGCTTTTTATAAGTTTGAGGACAATGGAGTTTATGATATCCCGGAATATAGTGTCATCATATATATATATATATATATATATATATATATATATATATATATATATATATATATATATATATATATATATATATATATATATATATATATATATATATATATATATATATATATATATATATATATATATATATATATATATATATATATATATATATATATATGTATATATATATATATATGTATATATATATATATATATGTATATATATATATATATATATATATATATATATATATATATATATATATATATATATATATATATATATATATATATATATATATATATATATATATATATATATATATAATGTATATATAGTTTTACTTATCATGGTATGCCCCATTCTACTTCAAGCAAAATTTCTAATGCAACAATTATGGATGCTTTAATACATGTCTTTTCAATTGATCTAATTTTTTTCAGTCAGTAGCGGTAGTAGAAGATGCGATTGCTCCTCATGAATGTGGCGACTATGACGTTTTAATCGATGTGAAGGCGGCATCGGTTCAAATCATAGACGCTGAAATTTGCAAGGGTTATGGCAAGACCCTTCGTAAAATATTACGTAGAATTTTTAAGGTAAGCCCTGAACTATATAATGCGTTTTTGCGGGAGCGTATTAGCCGGACCCGTTCTGTGGAACACCTACAACACACTGTTTTGAATGGGGCCGTTTATACTGTTGCCATTATGCCTCATCGACTGGATGCGACGGCAGCATGCTGCCATCGAATGGGACGACGGGACAGCGGGATTTAAAAGGAAACATATATTTAATACGACAGTGTGTGGTTTTATACTGTACCATTGAAGTTCGGGCAATTATGTTCAATATAGACAAATTTATCTAGTGGATCCAAGATTCTCTAGTCATTGGTGAAGCTATGTTTAATAATAATAATAATAATAATAATAAGTTTATTTATCAATCAATACAAGCTACAATATCACGACTACAATATAACGCAATTCATACTAATTCCCGTAAATACATGCAAAAAAAAAGCGTTAAAAAAAATTAAACCAAAGATTATTTAGTAGAAATGCGAGTAAAATAATTATGATTATTTGATAAATAGACTAAAATAACATCAAAGAAATACTTCTTGCCGGTGTGAATTAAACTTACAGGTCTTATATAATTATGGAAAGTGAAAAGTTTTAATGAAAGATAACGAATACCTACCTAAATTATACATGTAATTAAATATGGAAAAATCAGTACAAATTGGAAAAGTCAAAAGGGTAATGAAAAATCGAACAGTAACAAATTGAATTAAAACTAAAATGAAAATGAAACAGAAGACGTAGTTTAATAAGCTAGCAAATGAGTGATAAAATTATGTTGTAATAACAAGCTTGTTTTGGAATGTAATTGTATTAAAATTTATTAGCCATTGGTTTGTCATGATCAGGTGCAGTTTAGTCTAGTTCTGGATACGTTTTGTTTTTATCATTGTTGGGGATACTTTGACACATTCGAGGATTTATTTTTTTTGTCTTACTTTTTAAGCTAGCCATATTTTTTCATTAGCAGTGAATGAATTCTCGATCTCTCTTGACTTAGCAGCCATTTGTTTAATCGAGATTTAAACAAAGTTAAAGAATTTATATTTTTGATTTCAATCGGTAGCTCACTGTGGATATTTGCGCTTATGTACAAAAAGAATCTTTGTCCTAGTGAAGTCTTGGTTTGAGGAAGGTTACCTGTTCCTACTTTGTGCCTGGTGTTATGATTATGCTTTATGGTTTGTAACGTGTCTTTTTTCTTATATTGTCGCATTGCTATACTTTGCACAAAAAGTTGACGAATATCTAAAATTTCACTCTCTCGGAATAATTTAATACTTGGATATAGTTTATTCTTGCCATAAATTATTTTTAATATCCACTTTTGAGTGATTTCTAGCGTTCTAAGATGAGCATCCAGCACTCCCTCCCAAACTATTATTCCATAAGTTAAATGTGGTTGAACAAGTGCAAAATATAAGGTTCTCAAGTATGACTTTTCAAAATATGTTTTCAATTCTTTAAAATTTCTGATTAAAGATCTTAAGCGGTTATTTGTATATTTTACATGTTCACCCCACTTTAAATGCGGATCAAGTATAATCCCCAAATATTTGATTGTGGTTTTATATTTTATGGGCACAGAATAATTCGCATTTATTTTGATATTCAGTTCTTGGAAGTCTGGGAGAGAGTCGGAATAACATCCCAAAGGCACAAAATTAGTCTTTTCGTAATTAACGGTTAAGAGATGGTTACTGAACCATTTAAATATGTGCTGTAGGTCATGTTCGGCTTTGTTTTTAAGTGCTTTCCAGGATTTATCTCTGTAGATTATGGCAGAGTTGTCCGCAAAGCATATTAGTTATGTTAAATAAATTATTAATATAAAGTATAAACAATACCGGGCCCAAAACTGTCCCTTGAGGAACGCCAAACTCTACATTTGCTTCTTCACTAACCACATTTCCTACTTCTAATACTAATACTCGGGAAACATTTTTCTTTATATTTCCGCCTATCTTCTTAAAATATCATAAATCTGATTACCCTTTTGCTGGCCGGTAAAAAATTATTTTAGTCTGTGCGGAAATGCATCATTTTCCTTTTCCCGAATAACCGAAGCCAGTTAAAATAAAACTGGAACTAACGAAAACTCCGGAACAAAAAATGCAAGTGATAAGAAAGTTTTTTACCATCTGTAATACATTTTCTTTGCATGAAATACATATACAAAGATAATTGTTGTTTTCGCTGATTAAAAAAAAAATCGAAGTGATATTACACATGCGCAAGTTTTATTATTTTCAAAAAACTATTTAAAATTTAAAGCAAAAAGCAATTTTCAACTATTTTAAAGCCCTGAAAATGGAAATTATACATTACTGCAAAACAATATTTGTAATCCCACGCTCTATGTTCAATCCTTATTTATGTAAATGATTTTGGTTAAACTGTTTGACTCTTCAAGCAAATTCGCCGTTTCAAGAGCACAAACAATTTTCATTTTTGAAAACTGCACTAGTCTACAAACAAGCACGCATGACGTAATTCCCGTTCTAGTGCATATATATACTCTCAAGACTGCCCGCCAAACGAGTTCCTCTAAAACTCATTGTATAGTCCCGGGCAAAGTGGTAAAACTATAGTCGCATTAATTTTATTATTTCAATCAGTTTATATAAAATGTTTATATATCACATTGAGTTATCAAGATTACATTTAAAATGAAATTTACAACTTTAAATTTTTTTATTCTAGCAATCTTCATCGGATCTGCCAGTCATCCTTGGAAGAGACTGTACTGGAGTTATAACGGACTTGGGAGAAAAAATTAAAAGGTTGGAAATTGGTGACGAAGTGTGGGCGACAGTGCCATTTTGGTCACAAGGAACCTTAAGCCAAACCGTCCTGTTGTCCGAAAATAGGGTAATTTCTACTCAGCGTTCTTAGCAATTATTTAAGCAACAAAAAAGGAAACTGCGGATATTTTTTATAATCCAAAAGTTTGGCAGCACTGGTTAGATATTGAGAGACAAAACTTTTCAAATTTGTTAATAAATATCAATAATATTCAACACAGAAAAATTGAACAAATATATAGTGATTCCCACCTATATTTCTTGCACTTGCTGTTCACTAGGTTTAATTTCTCCTGTGGTTTTTAGCAATTAACATAATCATTTTTAAAGGTAGCTAAAAAACCTAAAAACGTGGGTTTTGAAGGTGCCTGCAGCATTCCTTATGCTGGGAGTATAGCTTTATCTATATTGAACCAGGCAAAGTTAGATGTGTCAAATGCCGAAAAAAAGAAGTAAGTACAACTTACAAACATATCAATTTACATTTTTAATCATAATGGGTCACTTGTATAAAATATGTTTATACCTACAAAAAACAATGAGGAATGTAGAAAGTTTTTATTATTAAGCACGAAATTGAGAAAATAGTTTAAGCAATCCCAATTTCAAAATTTAGAAGAAAATTAAAAAAGGAAACACTAAATGTACTTAAAATGCTTGAAAAACTGTATGTATATATATGTATATATGTATATTACCCAACCGAATAAACTCTAATTAATTTACAATAACTTCTCACAATATATTATTTATAACTAATAAATACTTACCGGCCGGCGGCTTTTGGGGTTCTTGTGAACAGGTTTATTCGATGATGTCTATTAGATCGTAGATGACGCAAGTATCACGCCAGTACCTAAAATTAAACTATACTTACTCACAATGCAAGGGTATGTAGTTAGGTGTGTTAATCCTCTGGTATTGCGGTCTATTCAAGGTACAGTCTTTTTAAAGCAGTTTTTATTCGATTCAGATTTCATAAAATTAAGGTTAAACAAATATGGTAAAAGCAATTCCATATTTTTGTCGTTTTTATCTACACATTATTTCGGTTTTCACCACCAATTTGCAATTAATATTTATGAACAATTTCTTTAGGCATCCGCTTGTTTTTTATTATTTTAATTATAATAAATATAAAATATATAAAAAGTTCAGTTTAGTTTCAGTTTGAAACAAACTGTAAAGTTCATACATCATAAAAATTTGACCCATGCAATTGTCAGATATGCTGACAAATTTTTTTGTAACATTCACATTATTACAGTTGAAAACTGTAGAAAAATATTTATATCTTATATATTTTATAGAATTTTTATTCAAGGCGGTTGCACTCCAGTAGGATGTCTGTTAATCCAAATTTTAAAGCATTGGAAAGCCGAAGTAGTTACCTCTTGTTGTGAAAGAGCTGTCCCTGTCGCCAAAGCTTTAGGAGCGGCTGATATAATTACCTTGGATACATTGGAAGAATTTAGATCTAAAATTTTTCTTGAACATGAATATGAGAATAATGAGCATTCTAACGACCAGGTGGATTTAATAATGTTAATTAAGGAACTTGAACTAAGGGGACAACAGTATGATGTTATTATTCTAACCAGAAATGATAGGTGATCGATTTTTATTTAATACTACATAACATTATGTGATTCATTGATTTGTTCTAGGTTTAACTGGAAACACCTAACTCGTTTTTGTAAAAAAGAAAAGAGTATATTTTCATCCCTGCCCCCAGACTTATTGTCAGATTCTTGCGGCATAATTGGTCGGAATTTACTGTCACTGTACATTAAGACAAAGATGATAATGCAGGTATTAATAAATGTAAATCGTAAAATGCGTAATTTAAATTATTTTTCTCTTGTTTTAGACCATATTGGGTGCTCCTCTAGACGATTATGATGAATGTCATTTATGTTACGAAACACTAAATGACTTGACACATGGTGTCGAAAACGGTTATTTACAAAATGTAGTGGATAAAGTCTTTCAACCAAAGAATATTGAAATGGCTTTAAATCATATACAATCTTCAAAATCCATTGGAAGTTCTGTTATTACTTTTAGGTAACATATCATTTATTTTGTTGACTAAGAATTTAGTGTCTCAGGGGAAACAAAACGATTCTACTAAAGAAAACTATAATTAGTAAAAGTATTGAAAAATTCCTATAATCGGAGTAAATGCTGGCTTTACTTTAATATTTAAAGAATGCCTTATCAATTCTGGTCTTTAAATTCTAAACACAAAACGCAGATTGAATCAGGTCCCACTCAGACATTACGTGCAGGAACATGAACTGCCACATTAAAAATATCAGGTAATTTTGATTTTTTGTTATCTAGCTATTTATTGATATGAATATGTAGCCAATCTCTTTTGGGCAGGTTAAATGTTGAATAATCTTAAATTTAAATGTTAATTACATGACTTAATTGATGTTCGGTCAAAAATATATATTGCTGACAATAAAATTTTGTAATAAAATCTGCACTTTTTTATTGTGTGGTTATTTTTTACTTTGTAAATATTTTTTCTACTGTCGTATCTAAAATGTCTTATTATACACCGATCTAGCGTACGGAAAGTGTCATTTTACCACGGCAATTTAGTTAGCCATGCAACTACAGCATCCTGGGCCTGGCTCCTGTGCTCACGGCCCCGGAAATGTCCCTTCCCTAATGGCCCCACCAAATCCTTTGTTGTTGCATTGGTGTAGTAGAAAATTTTTGTACTGATTGTTCTCTTTTTTGGTGTAAAACTGTTCAAAGGGTTGAAATGAAACAAAAATTTATAGCATAAGCATTTTAATAATTTTTCCCAAAATATAGTATTTGTGGAGACATTTCCTTGTATTTGTTGTACGATCCAAAGTGCCTTGCCCAATTTTGTATTTTTTATTTTTATGACAAAGGTAACCTCTACTTTTATACTCCTTACTAGGAGTTACGAATAATTTTTTTAATAAACGTCAAATATATTTATTTAGGACTCCAAAAATTATATATATATATATATATATATATATATATATATATATATATATATATATATATATATATATATATATATATATATATATATATATATATATATATTCTCACGTATTGATTCACGGATGGAAAAATATGATGACACTATATTCCGGGATATCATCCGTTCGCTCGTTGAACTCCGACTGGAATCCTGCATCCGACTGGAATCCTGCATCCGACTGGAATCCTGCAAATCCTGCATCCGACTGGAATCCTGCAGACGTTTCGCCAAAATCTCACTTGGCATCTTCAATGCTCGCGCTCCGAAAACACTGCAGTGTTCGAAGTGTTTTCGGAGCGCGAGCATTGAAGATGCCAAGTGAGATTTTGGCGAAACGTCTGCAGGATTCCAGTCGGATGCAGGATTTGCAGGATTCCAGTCGGAGTTCAACGAGCGAACGGATGATATCCCGGAATATAGTGTCATCATATATATATATATATATATATATATATATATATATATATATATATATATATATATATATATATATATATATATACATCCCGCTATTTTCCGAGCGTCCTTTCATGGATCCGTCTCTGAGCGTCCAGTATCGTTTTCTTCAAGATCCCTACTTTAACAAGTGAATATTTTGAAGTTTTATAAACGAGATGGCGTTGAGTTTCCTTAGGACAGATTTTACGAAGATCATTTTTGTGAAGTTTTATGATACTTATATGTCGGCGTCCTTTTATAGAGGTACCTTGCTAGCGTCCAATATACACGGGAAAACTTTTACATTTCAGCATCCTAGCGTCCGTATGTATATTTTTCATTTATTGGGCAGATTTCTGAGCGTCCGAGCAACGTTGCCCGATTGATTGTGTATTAAAGTACATATAAATAGATATGGTCTTTAGAACACGCTTCTCCTTTTTAACATGACGGTGCACAGTCGAGCGGGTATAAGGCGATTCATGTTTTCGCTATATTTTGAAAAATGTTTTGTTGCTGTTTTATTTTTTATTTTATTATTTTTTTTTTTGTAGATTTGGTAGTTTTTAAAGCTCTTTGCTAAACTTAATTTCTTTGTGTAGATGTTTTCTTTAACACGTCGCCCGATTTTGGAAAATAATTCTTGAATTTTTTGATTCTTGAATATGTTTGCCAGAAATATTGCACATGTATTGACGTTAGCCAGGTGCTGCTTGGACATAAACCTAATCAATAATAATAATAATTGAAAGCAAATACTATTATTAATTTTTCAAAGAAACTTCCACAGGCTACTGTAATACTTTCTACAAAACTTCTGGTTTCCTCCTGCGCCGGTTTTTGCTGAGTCGAACTTGCTGACGTTTCGCCAATCTTCCTGTTGGCTTCTTCAGGGATTGAGTGAAACTGGCTCGCATTTTACTCTGTACCTGTATATATATATTGTTTGAGGGGGGCGGAGCTAAATGAGGGGCATGAACACCGTCTCGGATCACTGATTCCCATGTTGGTGACAGGTAAAGACCAGAGTCGCGGTTAAGATTCTTTGGTTATTTAGAGATTTGTTTGATTACATACAAGAATTCGCCAACAGCTGATGAATTTATTTGTCTTAGTCGTAAGGCTCTTTCGTGTTCTTTGAGCCTAGTTGATATTTTTCGTCCGGTTTGTCCAATGTATTCTTTGCCGCATATGCAACCCAGAAGTTTTGTAAAAAGTAAATACTAATATTTAAATATTATTTTTTTAAATTGTTTACTAAGTTCTTGACAGTTGACTTATTTGCAGATCAATAAATTATGGTACCAAACTAAGAAAAACTGTTAATTTAGAAATTATGTAATATAATTTCAACTGGCCAACTGAGGCAATATTACTGTGTTGTTTGTGCTTAATGTTGGTTTAAAATGGGCCGATGTTAGTTATTTGGAATAATTAGAAGTTACTATTTTAGTTTAATTAAAAAAAATTATAAAGAACACAGACAACTGCGATGAAAACGGCATTCGTTACTCGTTAAAATTAACATTTTCTTCAGAAGGCTATTTACAAATCTTCTAGATCCCTTCTGCATCTTTTGTTTATAAATAAAGCTAGCTGACGTTTCACCAATCATCCTGATGGCTTCCTCAGAGCTTAAGTGAAGCTTGCTCACATTCTATTCTGAACTCACTGATATACTGTTTGAGAGAGGCGGAGCTACATGAGTGACATGAACATTGTCCCGGATTTCCATATTGTTGAAAATCAGAGTCGCGGTTAAGATTGTTTGGTTGTTTAGAGATTTCTATTAATTTTCGGATATTTCCCTGGTAGAAGAATCGATTACATTGATTAATTGTTAATTTGATCGAATGAGATTTCGGTGTCATTATTGTTTTCGGCAACTGCTTATGACTCTATTTGTCATAGTCGTATATTTTTTGTTCTGTTTCTCTGGTTAGTTTTGACATAGCTCTTTCAGATATATTGCAATTTGGGAATCTAACCAAATTGAAAAATGCTTGTCTGGAACATATTTTTCTTGTAACGGTCAAATTTATGAACAGGACCAGCTGTGAGATCTCCAGAGTGGTTGGCGAAACGTCAGAAAGTTCGATTTATCAACCACCGACGCAGGTAGAATGCAGAATATTTGTAAATAGTCTTACACTATTCTGTGAAAGTTTCCTTTAAAAAAAATCTTCAGAAATCTTTGCTAAACAAGTTTGATAAACGCCATATTAGTTTATTTGGCACGAATGGAGCGAGTGCTTAATAAATGAGTGAAAGAAGAAGTTTACAAGGTGTTGCATACTATATGCGTGTACCTTGACCATCAGAATCGACAAACCAAAGCACTGGCTAATATATCACCGGAAATATCCGCAGTGGCTCGCAGCCCTACGTAACGTCTTTAAGCCACACTGTATAATGCGTATTTTAGAGCAGGAATGTAAAAGGGGGATTTTTTTAAATCAATTTGGGAAAAAATTTAGATGATATCCAAGGAACTAAAGAGACACTTTTTATCCCGAGGCAAAACTTTATAGAGAATATGTCGAAAATCACCTAAAAAGATACTTTATTTCAGAGGTTCATTGTTAGGATTTAAGTTTAGGTACATTAAAAAAAGTAATAGATGAAAATATTGTTCAGTGGCAGTGGTGATACATTATTGTACTTTACTTTTCATCCCTCACATTCCTTGTTTAACTTCATTTTTATTTATATCTTAGGGCACAATGAAGAAAAATAACTATTAAAAAGAACACTTTTATCGAATAACTTTTATCAAAGTTCATTTCAAAATAATAATTTTTACTAAAATATAGAAATGTTACTTTTCACATTTATTTTGGTTTGATTAAAAGCAAAAGTCAACAACTTAAATCGTTCAATAAAATAGTTCTTATATGTTGCGCACTTTAATAGGCGACCTATTAATATTAATGAAATATTATTAGACGATAAAATCAAAATATTTTATTACCTAATTATTTAGATAAGTATTTAGCAAATGATATTTTAATTTGCAAATTCCAACAACTTCTTTTCCTATTGCATTAAACAACCATTTATGTTCAATATTTCTATAATATAAATATTTATATTCGATATTTTTAATATTTCGAACACCGTTCTAAATAGCATTTAGCAGAAATTATTGGAAGAAAGTAATAAATCTAAAAATGTGCCCAAAAATTAAAAAAGATTCAGAAGTTATTGCATAGTATTCGCATATAAAAAACCAAAACTTGTTGGTGCCATTTTGTTTAATTAAAACATTTTAATAATGTTGCTTCATGGATCTGAAGATTATATAATGCAATAATAATAAAATAATCGAAAAATAGCAATTTGTGCAACTAAATAAAAAATATAATTTTTTTTAAGTGATCGAGGATGGCTCGGTTGGTAAGTCGTTAGACCTGCCAACTCGACTTGCAGTAGAAGTTGTTGGTTCGATTCCGACCTGGAGTCTTGGGTGTTGTTATTGCGTTTGTTGCCCGACTTTAACGACTGACTTCAATCTAGTCAGGCTTCTAAGTAAAGACAGACGCGAGTTCATTGAATTAAGGTAAAAAAAAAATGCAACCGCCGGACAAGTAGTTGAAAAAAGAATAACTTTATGCAATGAGCGGATTTTCTCACGAAGAGAGCAAGCGAAACAAAAGAGTTTGGCGACGTGTCACAGAATGTTGTTTTAAATTCTAATATCATATAAAGCGTACGGCATTGGCAACAGGATATAAATATGATTTTTGTAAATTTTGAATTCTTTACCACACATTTCGAAAATAAACTTTTATTAATTATTTAATTTTTTAATAGAAAAAAAAAGTCTTGTGTATTGGTGTTACGTTTACGTTAATTCCAACTTAGCCTACTTCCGAATTCGTGGTAAAAAAATAAAATTCTTTATTTCCACGGTCTCTACATGCTCGAACTACGGAGCGCCAATCGAGTTCATTCAATATGAAAAACAAAACAACTAGGCGAAGCAGAGCTGTTACCCCACAATTTCGCGCCAGTCTGCAAAAGTTAATAGTGACAGTGTTGCCACGTAACAAAGGCGCAGAGGACGCCTGGAAATCGACGAGCTGAAAGTAGAATATATCTTGTAAAATATACAGAGACTGGGTCTGGCGCCTCTACCGGGTATACAGCTGAACTAACAATATACAAGAAAAATCAGTTTACTATGATCGTAGCGTCTTTGTGAAAATTTTAATTTAGACTACTTAGATCTTGTTTATACCGTTTCTATAGCGCTGCATCCGGGCGCCCGGTTGTGGACGGACGCTCGGAAAATAGCAAATTGTTAATGTACGGACGCTTGGAAGATAGTGGGATATATATATATATATATATATATATATATATATATATATATATAT